TCCTGTTCCGCCATGACCTACTCTCTCTTCCTCTTCTCCCCCTCTCTTCTTCCCAGCTCACACTCCGCCCCCACCCCATGCCTTGTTCCCCATCTGTTCAAGGATCTTGCCTCATTCCTCTTCTCTTGGGTACTATGCATATCTTTTAGGTTCTTTCCTGTTTCCCAGAATCACTGTCAGTGGAAGTGCAGACTGGCACTATCCTGATCCATGTCTAAAATCCATATATGAGTGAGTACATACCATGTTTGTCTTTTTGTGAGTGGGTTACCTCACTCAGGATGGTTTTTTCCAGTGCTATCCATTTACCTGCGAATTTCAAGATTCCATTGGTTTTTTCTGCTGAGTAATACTCCATTGTGTAAATGTACCACATTTTCTCTATCCACTCTTCAGTTGAGGGGCATCTACGTTGGTTCCAGGTTCTGGCTATTGCACATAATGCTGCTATGAACATAGTGGAGCAGATGTCCTTCTTGTATGAATTTGCCTCTTTTGAATATATGCCTAAGAGTGGAATTGCTGGGTCTTCTGGTAGATTGAGTCCCATTTTCCTGAGGAATCTCCATACTGCTTTCCAAAGTGGCTGTACGAGTTGGCAATCCCACCAGCAGTGGAGGAGTGTTCCCCTCTCTCCACATCCTCTCCAGCATAAATTTTCTTCATTGTTTTTGATTTTAGACATTCTGCCAAGAGTCAGATGGTATCTCAGAGTTGTTTTGATTTGCATTTCCCAGATGGCTAATGATGTTGAGCACTTTCTCATTTGTCTCTCAGCAATTTTAGACTCCTCTATTGAGAATTCTCTATTTAGTTCTGTAGCCCACTTTTTAATTGGATCCTTTGGTGTTTTGGAGACTTGCTTCTTGAGTTCTTTGTAAATTTTGGAGGTTAGCCCTCTGTCAGATGTGGGGTTAGTGAATATCTTTTCCCATTCTGTGGACTGCCTTTTTGTCTTGTTGACTGTGTCCTTTGCCTTACAGAAGCTTTTTAGTTTCAGGAGGTCCCATTTGTTAATTGTTGATCTATATTTCTGTCTTTTCAAATCTTGGTTCTACATATGACAGAACACATGATGTTTATCTAAACTGCCTTATTTGTTCAGCATTACAATCTTCATTTTCATACCAATTATATAACTTCACCTTGGGGCTGCTTCTGCTTTGCAATGCCCACTGTTAGTAACAGTGCATTTCTTCTTTCAGTAAATCCTGTTTTATACTTTGCAGTTTCTGTGTCTTGTTTTAATTCTTTGCTGTGAAAGCAGGTAAACTATCTGGTAAGATAGCTTTACTTATGTTCTGCAGTGCTGGTTTAATGTTCATGAACTACTTTGGTTTGTGATGATCTCAAAAGCTTATCTTAATTGATTTCACTTTCATTTTTAAAGATAGATTTGCTGAGTATAGTAACCTTTGTTGGCAGTGCATTCTCTTGGTTAGAAACAAACAAGTTTTCTGTCTTTGGGGATCACCACTGAGATATTTAATGTTATCCTGAGTTTGTTCTTGTAAGTGGATGTTATGTTACATTTGTAAGCATAATGTCTTTATTATATAGACATAACATTTCAAGTATAATGTGATGTGAAGAAGTTGTTTACTTACCATGTTTGTATGGTATCTTAAATGCTTTCTGGAAGTACATGTCTGTATCTATGCCTTACTTTGGGAAGTTTTGTGCTATAACGTAAGTGAACAGATTGTGTATGTCTTTAATTTGTATCTTAGCTCCTCCTACCCCAAGAATACTTACATTTTGTCTCTTAATCATTAATAATATTTTCCATGATGGCTTTTCATGGCTGGAGTTCAAAACAGGTTTTATCTGTGTAGCTTTGGAGTCTCTCCTGGAACTCTCTGTAGATGAGGCTGTCCTCAAACTCAAAGGGATCTGTCTGCCTCTGCCTCCCGAGTGCTGGGATTAGAGGCATGCACCACCACCTCCAGGCAAAAGTTATAAATTTTATACTCAAAATTACATAGGCATTTTAAACTTTATATGTTTGTTCCATATATTTCATTTTTCTCTCTTTTTGCAGTGTATATTACTTAATTAAATTTATCTTTAAATTATGATATTAATTTTATTACTATGTAACTCTTTTTACATTATTTATTTAACTTTATTTTATTTGCTTTGGTGTAAAGGTGTCAGGTCCCTGGGAACTGGAATAACAGTTCTGGGCTGCCATGTGGGTTTAGCAGAGCACTACATGAGATGTTATAATTTGTACTTCATCTACAACGGTTTACGCAATTTATGATGAAAAGCTTAATCTGTTATACTTACATTTTTACTCATTCTAATATACTTTCTTCTTAGCAGTTTTAAGATTTATTCCATTGTATGACTTTTCTTTTTTGATAAGTTTCTTTCTTAATTAAATAATTTATTTATATTTTATGTATGAGTGCTCTGCATGTAAATCTGCATGTCACAAGAGGGCATCAGATTCTATTATATAGATGTTTATGTGCCACCATGTCATTGTTGGGAATTGAATTCAGAACCCTGGAAGAGCAGCCAGTGCTCTTAACCTCTGAGCCATCTCTCCAGCCTGGAATAAGTTTCTTTTGCCAGGTTTAAGGGAGGTGTTTTATCAGTAAATTCTCTCTCTTTGTGTGTGTGTTATTTTTTCCTTTAAAGACTGTCTTGTGTCTTCACGCCGAACATGTACTTTCATCAGATATAAATTTCATGATTGAGAATTACTTTTTGTGCTTGTAAGAATGGGTTTGTTCCCACTGAACTTCGTGGTTTCAGATGAAAAATATGATGTCATTTAAATTTGCCTTCTTTCATTGTTCAATATGCCATAAATTTCACTTATCTCAGTGATTTTTCATTTGCTGAAGACTGCAGAGGATTGATTGTCATGTATTCTAATATAAAGCACATTTGATTTTTACAGTTTATGGTGTACTATCACTTTGAATTTGTAATTATGCCCACCACATATTGATGCTATTTTTAGTCATTTTTTATTTCCTTAGATTCCCACATGTCTCTACTTTGGGAATTTGAGTTGAAAAAGACAGAGCGTTCATTGTTATTATTCTTATGGTCCATAAGGTTTCTTGGTTTATTTTTGTTTTAAGTATGTATGCCCTCTATTTTCATATTGAGTGATTTATATTGATACTGATTTCACTTCAATCCTTTATTTGTCTATCTGATAATCTTTTGTTATTTTCTCCCATTTTAAAGTTCCCTTTAATCATTTTCCTTATTTTATATATTGTTTGAGGTTTTATAGTCTTTCCTTTCTTTCAATAGTGCTTGCAATTCATTATTGAAACATTTTTATGATTACTGTGGAAAATATCAAATAATTCTAATATGTGTAATCTTATTTTTCAATATCTGTATCTTTGGTTATTCAAGTTGTAATTAATTTTCATTTCTATCCTGAGTATTTTGTGTATTATGGTATGATAATTTGAATTCTATTTAATCTCCTCACTTTATAGATACTAATCCTGTTTAGGTGTTTCCTGAAATTGCTAGTGTTGAACAACATTTAACTGTTCTAGTTTTTATATGTCATAGAGTTGTGAGGCAGAAAACTGAATTGTATGAAATCACTAGAGTAGAGAGCAACTAGTTCTCAGCTGGACCCTGCTGACATTATGTTGAGGGAGGAAAGAAAAACTGATTAAGTTCACCTCTTCTTGATTCCTTATTGGTGGCAAGGAATGTAAAAGATCTGCTTTCTCCATCAGCCTTCTGCACAAATCTAGCAGGGAATCATGATACTTCCCTGTTTCTTTCAGTCATAAGACAAAAAAAATTCTCCCATATCAGCCTCATTAATAGTATCCCAGGAGAGGAGTTGGAGTCCTATCTGCTTATCCTCTGAAATGGATGGAAATTACTATGCTTGCTGTGATGATTCGTGTCAATTGTCAACTTGAAAGACTCCAGAAACACCTAGCAGTTAGGTTTCTAGGCATATCTGTGGGTGTGTTTGATCGTGTTCAGATAGAAAGACCAGCCCATTCTGGGTGTTACCACTCTCTAGACAGGCAATCCTGGACTATACAAGCAGGAGCTTGTATTTATCCCTCTCCATTTTCTGATTGCGGACACAGTGTTTGCAGATGTTTAAAGCTCTCATTGAACTGTGAGCACTTTCCAAACCTCAAGTTTCTTTTATCAGAATATTGTATCACTGGAACAGGAAAGAAAATAAGATACCTGCTAAACCCTTCCAACATTACTCCACAAAAGCAAATGGTTTTTTTCTGCCTCTCCGAAGGGGAATAAATCACTTTTTTACTTGTACTCACTGAAACAGTCCTGCTGAGGAAATGAATAGAACCTGGGAAGATAGACCATTTCCTTGTGTAATCACACTGAAACTCATTTGGTGATGACTTTCTGCCAGTAATTTGTTCAGTTGTGCATCAGCTTTAAAAAATATCCTAAAAAATATTCCTAAGGATCCTACTTCCTTAGGCAAATCATCTTTATTATTTCTCTTTTCAGAAAATTATTTTCCTGCTAGGTCTATGGACCTTTAGTTGTAGTATGGATTATCTGCTAGTGATGAGGCTATGGCTTGTTGTGGACCATGATAATACTCAGAGTGAAAAACTATAGCCTATGGCCCTCAGCATGAGAGTCTTTAGGGGCAACATAGGACTCTAAGGTATTTTCAAGAAATGATTTATTCTTTTCTGAATAACGTGAAGTAAGTGATGAACATATATGAACTGGAGAAATAATAAAGATTTCCAGAAGCCAATATGATATATATATATGTATATATGTATGTATATATATAATAAAAATGATCTTTATATGGAATGATTCTGTCACTATTTTCAATAAGAAATAGTGAGAAAGTCAGTCAATGAATTAATTGTGAGAGCGTGCATTAAATTTTGTATACAAATTATGGAAAGGGATCGCTCCATTGGTAAAGTGTTTGCTTTACAAGCACAAAAAGTCATGTTTGATCACTAAAACCCATGTTTTGTTTTTTTTTAATTTAGGATCTTTGCTATATATTTGTAATCACAAAATTGATGATACGGTAATAATCAGATCAGTGGAGCATTACTGTCCACGTAGCCTAGGCTACTATGCAAGTTCAAGATAATAAGACCTCTTATATCAAGAAAAGGTAAATAAATGCATTCTGTTTGCAAGACATAAATAAATCATACTAGAACTTAGCTAGAAGCTTCCTTCATCTTGGCTAGCTTTCCTAGTGCTATTCATATTCATATCAATATTTGCATATCTAGGTGTGATATTGGAATTAAACAGGAATTAAATACCTGTAATTCCAATGTTTAAGAGACTGACACATAAGGAATGCCTGGAGTTTGAAGCCAGCTTGGGCTGAAAAGTGAGTTCTGGGCTAGCCTGGGCTACAGGATGAGGCCCTACCTTATGTAAAACACAAGAGGGTTGGGAATATAGCTCAGTGTTAGAACATTTGCCTAGTATTCATGCAGCACTAGGTTTTATTTGCAGCATTGCAGAGAGAGAGACAGAGACAGAGACAGAGACAGATCAAACCTGGGACATGTTAACCATTTACACTACTAAAGAAAGTAAGGTTAATATGATAATCTCATATGAATCAGAACCCACAAAGGGCAACTAGGGGAACAGAGACTCATATGAATATCACACTAGGTACAACAGGGTAGATAGGATTCATTTCAATATAGAAGAAATTGATTTAATTTAATAAGAACACATGAAACAAACAGAATTTAGAGACTTCTACAACCTTGTATCTTCGAAGAACTGAATTTCTTGTGAGTTTTCCATTGTTACACGTAAAAAACATAGAAATGGGCAAAATCGTAAATATTCTTACCAAATAGTATACACAGGAAAGAAGTTCATTTGCAAAGCTTATTCTTTTCTCTCTAGAACGGCATTTAAGACCTTTCACAACAAATACTTTCTACTTTTAGAAGTTTATCTCCAATGATTCTCTTTTCGACTGGTGATATTGTCTTATCCTTATTATACCAGTTCATGATGTCCAAACAGAATATGAGTTTCTAATTATGAAGAGATTTCCAAAAAGAACTTTTGTGGAGACAATGCTATTAATTGAAGGAGAATATATTTTTGTTAAAATAACAAATTCAATAGAGTATTAGGCTTTTATATTTGTGAACAAAGAATGTTATCAGTGGCCTCTTTTTAATTTGTTAGAGCAATTTTATAAATATCCTCCTTAGGAACAAAGAGATATCAATTAAAGCATTATTTTAAGGCAATATGTTGTTGATGTAATAAGCCAAATCAAACTGAATCAATAAATACAGGGCAATTCAGAGCAGAGCACTCCCAGGTGGCCCTAAGTAGGACAAGGTGAGATTTTAAGCACAAAAACCATGCTCTGGGCTGACATACTTCAGTTAACAAGAACAGTTAGAAGCAGAACTACAGAAGCCCAAAAGTAAGGTTAGCACTTTCAGAGACTTTCCCAGATGGAGTAGGTCTTTGTTTTCATTTTGGCAGATGGTACTGTCTATGTGCTGAGTTTCATGGCCTAAATGGTACTTCCATCATAGAGTCAGTTCTGTTAAGGTCTCGGAGCCTTCTAAGGATTGGGACCCTGTTACCTTCCCCACTGCTCTTAGTGAAGGAGTCAAAAGTGGACTCATCCTGCTCTAAAGAGGTGTAGTTGGTCCTAAGGAACATTAATTTCACTGAACTCATACATAATTGGCCAAATAGTTTAAGATGCAGGAGCTAGCTGCTAATCAGAATAAGAATTAAAGGCCCAGTCAGGACTGATATCCAGGAGGACCAAAAGTACAGAGATTGGTACCAATTATCTGATTTATTTCTTTTTCTCTCATTTTTTGAGATTTTTTTTACCTAACTTTGACAAGACTTCTTTATTATTCCTGATAAATTAGCAGAGAAACAATATGTCTCTCCCAAAGCCTGACATAGTTTCCTTTATCTCATGAGAAGTAAGTCTAAGGCTCTCCTCCAATTTTGTATAATCATTCCTGCAAAGAACTCTTAACTGTTGTTTTAATACCTCTAGGTCTAGATCCACCCATCTGCTTAGCCCGCAAAACATCAGAAGAGGCAAATTTAGTCAAAACATCGGTAAGTGTACAACCAAGTAGTCTCAGGGGCTCGGTAATATTGTTGTTATCCAGATGAATTAAGTGGTAAGTCAGAATAGAATAGCAGGCATCAGAATAAGGGAAAGTACCTAGGTTAAATGTTTGGTATATTAGACAAGTTTCAGTACCTTATAGGTCCCCAAACATTAATCTGGGATGTCCCCATCACAGTGAGTTGTCAGTCGATGGGCTAACAGTCTGGTTTAGTTCCTATCCTTATGTAGTACAGGGGCCCAGGTGTCTAAGCATAACCAGTAATCCTGGCTGATTTCTAACTCTATCCCCAAGGTTCCTTCCTGTGGTATGGAGTCTGATTCCCCAGGTTTTTCCTGTTTCCCAAAGGCCACAATCATTTTAAAGGAAATATTCTGGAAGCCTCAGTTATACTACCCAAGTTTTTACAATGGAAACTCCCTTGTTTCTGGAAACTAGAGAGGCCCTGCTGTACGTCATGCATAGAATTGTAAACTCTGTATTTCTAACTTAGAAGACAAATTCCCATCTTTCCTTTTCTCTAACACAGCCAGACACTTAGTGTGGACCTCAGCAAGTAAAGGTCAAGATGGAATATAAATTGCTGGTCTGTAGTCACACTAGCTAATGCTTTCCCTGTGTCTGTCTTCCTCAGTTTCCAGTAATGGCCAGAGAGCAGTGGGGGTTAGACGCTGAATCTGTATTCATACCCATGGTGTAAAACACAAGATTCAGGAGGAGATAGTAGGGCAGTGAGTGCAAGGACCCTGGACCCCATGAAACCTTCATTTCAATGGGACATAGTCCAGAGACAGTCCATTTGACATCAGCATCTATGGCTTCTGCTTTCTTGATCTGGATGTGGTGGCTCCACGGTGTGACGCCAGCTACCTTCACTGCCATAGTAGTGGAGAGAATCACCTCACAGGGCCCTTTACAGGTTGGTTCCAGCACCCCTTGGCTAATCACTTGACCCACATGATATCACTGTACTTGAACAAGGGGAAACTTGTGGTGGACACACAGATCAGCTGGGTCTCTCAGATAGTCTAATGAATATCCTGTGTGGAGAACTGGAGGATGTACAGTGACTTGAGAAAGGAATGATTAGAGAGTTCAGCCATCTGCTGGTTTCTGAGCCTGGGAAGCCGTGAGGGAGGTCTTCCAAACATAGTCTCATAGTGGGTAAATCTCTCCCTGTATGGGATACAGCAGGCTGAAGCACAGCAAAGGAAGGAACCCTAACTGTCCTTCTCTGGACTCTAATGAGAATTTTTAGACTTTTTAATGCCTTGTTTATTCGTTTTACTTGTCCAGAAGTCTGAAGTCTATATGTATACTGAAGTTCTTATTCTATGTCCAAAATTTTAGCTAGTAATTGAGAGGTTTTGGCTATGAAAGCTAGGTCACTGTTGGAACAAATTGCTAGGGAGGAGCCAAATCAGAGGACCATGGATAAGCTTACTATTTGAGAAATTCCACTCTGGATGGGAAACAATTTTACCTACCTGGAAAGTGTATCTATAAAACTAGCAAGTATTTTTATCTTCTTCCTCCAACAGACCAGAGCTTAGTGAAGTCAGTTTCCCAGACATTGCTGGGGTGTTGGTCTCTCATTCTGATCCCTTCCTGGGTACAGGCTCTTTGTTTTGGATTCATTGGAGCACAAACTGGCATCTGGCTGAGACATCCCTTACTAGGCTGTCCATACTAACATACTGTTATACCTTGGTTTGAGCCTGGTGAAAGTCAGTTCCCAGAGTCCTGGCAGTTGTTTCTGGGAGAATGATCTCTCCCTCTCATGTCCTCCATCATCCTGAGGGTTTGATCTCTCCATTCTTCTTCACCACAGCGTCTCAGGCAGCACAGGGTCATGGTATGTCACCAGAATATCAATCGGCCCCACTGGTCTTATGCATGTCATTGGGCAGCCAGGTCAGAAGCCCAACTGCAGAGGACAGCAATTTGTAGAGGAAATCAAATAACCTCTAGAAGGTTAAGATTTTTAAATATATTCTTTCCCAGCAATGAGAAGCCCTCTTTCTCCATAGATCATACCTTGTACATTCCTGAAAGCAAAAGCATACCAACTGATAATTGGTGTATATAGTGGTGGAATTTACTTTTTCCCCTTTGAGAGCCTGGGTCAGATCAATCAGTTCTGCTCACTGGGCTGAAGTACCTGGTCAAAGTCATTTCAGTTAAAGTAACTGCTGCAGCTCCCACATACCTGGTTTCATCTTTCATCTCCAGACAATCACACATGAGTGCCTGCATCATCAGGAATCAGGTTAACCAAATTGATGGCAGAGGAAGTGGGTTTCTAAAGCCAGACTTGAGGGTGGGCCAGGAGTGTGGCCTTGCACTGGGTCACTCAGTCATTAGACAGCCAGTGCTCTGGTGCTCCTAGGATGAGGGCCTCAACCATGTCAGGGGTTGCTATAAATATACAGTCTTGACCCAGACCTAACTTGTTTCTGTTTCTTTGTTTGCTTGCTTCCTTTTTCATTTGCCTAGCAGTAGTTGTCACATCCTTTAGACAGGTGGGCCATCCTGTAGCTACAGAGTCCAATCATCTGGACAAGTATATCACAGAGCATTTCCATGGACCCAAACTTTGGGTTAAAAACCCTTTTGTAATGTCTTTTGTTTTGTGTACAAACAGATGAAAATGTTTTGAGACATTTGGAGTCAAAGTCAGAGCTGTTTTTCAAGCCTCAAATGTCTGTTGTTTAGTCTCAGTCCAGGTTAGGGCCTCAGTGCTCTCTTTGTGCTGATGTATAAAGGTTTTGCTATTTCCACAAACTCTGGTATCCAGGGGCAGCAATAGCCAGCTGTACCTAGGAACTCTTCAACATGTCTCTTAGACTTTGTAGTTGGGGTCTGAAGGATGGCAGCAATCCTACTCTCTGAGATAGTCTCCTCTCTTCAGCACATAGCCAAGTAGGTTAGCCTTCTACAAATGTGGGCTTTTGTAACAGACATTTTGTAGCCCAATGTCTGTAACTCTTGCAGCAGTCTCTCAGTGGCCCTTTTATAATCTATTTTCCCAGAAAACCTCTCATGGAAGGGCAGGAAGTCAGCATCTAATACCTTTAAATCCCAGGACAGCCTGGTACAGATATGTTGCCCACTGTAACCTCCTTCTGGGTCTGTCTATTTAAAAGAAATGATGGGTTGGCTCATCTCTGCCAATGGGAAGCAGAAGAATACATCTTTCAGGTCCAAGAAAGTGTACGCCTGTTTCTCTGGAAGAATCAGTCTTATGTGAATCAGAGGTCCCAGGTGTCTTCACAGGCAGGAGAACAGTATTCCAGGGTGACTGGCAGGGGACTAGGGTGTTTGTCTCTTTAGGACAGGCAATATGGACGGCAAATCCCCCATTTGTGTCCAGCGTCACTGGGTATTGATTGATCTTGACGTGGGTAGCTGAAAGTGTCAGTCCTGGGAGTCAGTTCCTTCTGACAGAGGGTGAGACACCAACATTTTTGGGTAGCATCTGTAAGTCTGATTGTGTCTCATCCTCAGAGAAGGTGACAATGGCTTTTCAATTTATGCAAATGATCTTGTTCCAATCAGTTCTCTGTTGTTAATTTTAAAATTTATTTATACTCTTATATTTCATTTTATATTCCAACCACAGTTCTTCCTCCCACCCCTCCTCCAGACTCCCCATTTGCCTTCCTGCAGCCCATCCCCAGTCCATTCTTCCTCAGGTGTAAGGGCTCCCATGAGGAGTCAAGAAAGTCTGACACAATAGGTTCAGGCAGGGCCAAGCCCCTCTCACATGTATTAAGGCCAAGCCTGGAATCCCACAATAGGGAATGGGCTCCAACAAACTAAGTCATGTACCAGGTTTGTATCATGGTCTTACAACCAGGGGCCCCTCAGATAGTCCAGGCTTCACAACTGTCTCCCACATATGTAGGGCCTAGTTCAGTTCCCTGGAGTCACCACAGCTGTCTGTCTAGAGTTCATGAGTTTCCACGAGTTTGGTCCTGCTCTCTCTGTAGATTTCTCCATCATGATCTTGACCTCCCTTGCTCATATATACCCTCCTCCCTCTCTTTGACTGGATTCCAAGAACTTGGTCTAGTTCTTTGTTATGGATCTCTGCCTCTGGTTTCACCAATTTTTAGATTAAGGCTCTATGATGATAGTTGGGGTAGTCACCAGCAACTGGGTCCTACTTATTAATCTTTTATTTTTTAACTTTTATAACTTTATTCTAATCTTTTTAGCAGTTATCTTTAATCCTTTAAAAGGACCTAGCAAAAGTTGTTTAAAGTTTCCTTTATCAGTATTCCACAGAAGTGAAACTTTGTTCATTCTGTCCAGGCTGCATTGCCTAGCAGTGATCTCCTTTTCCTGCCCAGGGTTTTTTGTTGTTGTTGTGTGTTTTGGGGTTTTGGGAGTTTTTGTTTTATTTCTTTTTAGCCTTTTTTTAGAATAGTGGAGTTTATGGATCGCTGGTTTATAAAGACACATAAATCATGAAAGAAAAAGGAGTGAAACTTTCTCTTTACCTTCGAGTTCAACACAGGGGCAATTTTCCTATTCCCAGGGGCTAATTAGAGCAGGCACAGGGCTGAGGGAATGTTCATCTGGGGAAACTGTCTCCCTCTCCCTGTCTACATTCCACTTAGATGGCTGAGGGTCCTGGATGAGAGGCGTGGCCCCTCCCACTTCCCCATAGGGACCAAACCTGACTGTGAGCAGGAGTCAAGCAACAAAACAAGCAAGCACTCCTGCTCCAGGATTGAGATAAGTGGAGATTGGGGCAGGGTTCTCTGGATGACCAGGCAGAGCCGAAAGGATTTGGGGTCCTAAAAAGGAAGGTGTACAGATGTTGAGTACGTGGAAGGTGTCACACCAAAGTAAGTCATTGGTCAATATAGGGAAACAGAGTGTACAGAAACATACACACGTACACACACACACACACACACAGAGAGAGAGAGAGAGAGAGAGAGAGAGAGAGAGAGAGAGAGAGAGAGAGAGAGAGAG